ATGTCTCTGCTGGCAATTCTGCCCCTCCCCCTCCTTCTCCTAACACTTCAAATTGGCAGCTCTGAGTTCTGCTGCAATTACCGTATTTTTCGTTCCATAAGATGCACTTTTCCCCGCCTAGAAAGTAAGGGGAAATGTCTGTGCGTCTTATGGAGTGGAGGGATCTGCTGCAGTTGCGAGCAGAGGATCCATGGTTCCCCTTCCTTCCCTCCTCCGTGGCTCGCTTTGAAGCAGCAAAGCGGGAGTAAGCGGCTCCTGTCCGGTTGGCTGCTTTAAAGCGAGTGGGCTCTCTTTCCCTCCCTCCTCCCCGCCTCTGCTCAGTGAAAAGCTCCTTCTTCGCACACCCCACCCGTGCTCCTTGTCCCTTCAGTGTTTTTCCTTCCCTTCCCACTTAAAATGTGGTTACAAAGCACTGATCCACATGGATCCTCAGGATTTTTGCATTGGGTCACCCCAAGTTCACATAGCATTTCCATGGCTACAGATTGCACCAAAAAAGCACACACCCATTATTGCCTGGGGCCACAATGGCACAAAAATGTGGTTACAAAGCACGGATCCACATGGATTCTCAGGATTTTTGCATTGGGCTACCCCAAACTCACCGTCAAATCACATGTCTGTGGCCACAGCATGAGCCACAAAAATCATACATTCACTGTTTCGTTCAGAATATTTTTGTTTTTGTTTTCCTCCTCTAAAAACTAGGTGCGTTGTATGGTCAGGTGCGTCTTATGGAATGAAAAATACGGTAAATCCTGTCTCCCTCTTCTCTTGAAACGTCTGCAGACTTTCCCCTTCTCCTCCGAGAGAAGCAATGCTTCTGAATACTGATTCCCAGCCCTTGCCTTCAGTCTAATCCCTGACACCAGCCGCCCCCTGGAAGCAATGCTTCTGAATACTGGTTTCTGGATAGGCGATTGTGCTCTTGTTCGCAAATTCTGCTTGAGGGTTCTCCATAGTCATCTGGTTGACCATTGTAAGACCAGGATGCTGGCTAGTCAGGCCGTTGGCCTGATCCAGGAGCTTCTTCCATTATGTTCTTCTGTTCTCACCACACAATCCAGTCTAAAAATAACACACCTAGAGTACAATAACCACAGAAGTCTACTAAAGGATCAAAGGTCCTTAGGGTTTATATTATTGCCGGATGCCATTTGGTTTGAGCACATATGGCAGAGAGGCCATGTGGTGGTGCCCAGGTCAGTTTGTGCTGAGCAGTAGGAGGAGGCGATTTCCATCATCGCCCCTTTTGAGTTTTCCAGGGATTGCTGAGCTCATCACTGCCACAGAACTGAAATATGAAAATTATCCGATGCGATAATGCAGATATGGAAATGAAAAGCACCATGAAAAATCCAAGTAAACCTGTGTCGGGTTCTGGACTGAGGAGGAATGGTGGGGATCGCACCCCTCTCTCCTGAACCTCTCCTGAACCTTCTAGAGAACAAGAGGACCGTATAGATTTAGAACAGTGGTTTGCAGAAGGGCATAGTTCAGAGGCTGCAGTGGGGAGAAGCTGGGGAATATTGGAAGAGGAACAGCTGGAAGAAGAAGCCCAAGGGGAGAGACAGCTGACAGACTCAGAGTCTTTGGAAAGCATTCCTGAACCCCCTTTCCCAGAACCAGGTGGCCATTAAGGGTAGAAGAACAGAAAGCTCAAAGGCAGAAAGCTCAGATCAGCCAACGCAGGGGTGACGTAGAATGGGAGAGGCATAGGGTTGGGGTGGGGAACTTTACTTCGAGCAACGCCATTATTTAGGGAAGTTGGCATACCTTCGTCTCTCTCTGTGAATGTTAATAAATTACATGGTAAGGACTTTTATTGTTTCTCTGCTTCTTGGCTGCTACCATGGGAGGGATCGAATTCCCCTAAGCCTGACAGCATGTCATATTACCCAAGTTGATGCATTTTACATCTTTAAGGGCATATTATCCAAAGCAAAAGTTAACTGCTGAAGTGTCAAAGAGTGCTGAAGTCTGCTGTAAGAGGTATAGGTTGGTTTTTCGAGAGCAATCAGGCAATATGCTTCAATAGTCTGTTTTAAAGCATTCTTATCGGTGATAAAAACCTTTGGAATGCAGAGTGCCTCTATTCCATGTCTTGCTCATTCACTGGCAGAATCTGAGAGTGGGCGGTCCTTAAACCTTCCCCAGCAGAGTAGTTTCTGTCAGGGTATATTGATTTATTGCTCAGATAAGCGTCCGGCACGCTTCCCCATCGCAGGCCTCTGCATTCCAAAGTCCACAGACCTGAGCTCTGAGCATAGCATAGCAGAGATCAACAGCGGCAAGAGAAAGACTGCAAAAAACTCCAGTGCCTTCTTCAGTGTGCTTAAATAAAGTCTACTCAGGATCTTAGCAGCTAAAAGCAGTTTTATTTACAGCAGACTATCCATTATCTATCACAGCGAACAGCATCGTGAAAACACGTCCTCTCTCCTCAAAAGCGAAAGTAGAGAGAGAGAACAAAGGCTCTCGGCTCTCGGAAATGACGCAGAAGTTCCCCCCTCCCAACAGTAGGCAGAGCAGACACTCTGAGCTGTTTAACCCTGTAAGCTCAGGTTCTCCTCACAGTTTCTTGATGCCCAGTCTGCGCCTCCCCTCTCTGCGCGGAAGCCTACTGCGCAGGGAGGGCGTGGGTAACGGAGGACCTCTCTCCTCCCCGCTTTGCTCAGGCAAGGTGTCCTGGCACCGCCTCGCCTCCCCCGAGCCCTGCAGCTCCTCTCCACTAGAGGCGTGGTTACTCTCCTCCGCTGAGGAGGCGCTGCTTCCCACGATCTTTGGGGGCTCTCTGTAATCCATCTGGCTTTCCCCCTCTCGCCCCTGAGCCGATGGCAGTTCCCTGACATCTGCCTTTCAAACAAATGCAAATGAAAAATACCTAGTTAACTTTCATGCCTTTGGCATTTGGCCACAAAACATACTTTGCTTGATGCCTGTTATAAGCTGCCATTAACTTATAGCAGGAGGTGTTGGTCCAGTTTTGGGGGTTTATTAATTTATTTTATTTATTTATTTACTATTTGCACTTATAATTTGCTTTTCACTTAAGCCTGTTGGCTGTTTGCAGTTTAGTTGCGCTGCAGAAAGCTTGCTGGGGAGACCACGCATTACAAGGAACTCAAAAACAGGTTGATCAAGGTTTTAATAACAAAAACTCCTTTTACACAAAATATATCAACAAGCATGACCCAACCACCAACCCACCCCCCAGGGTACTGAGAGAGCTAGGTGCTGCTCTTTATATACTGTACCCAATTGCTGACACAGCTTAATTAACACAACTTAGCAGCACCTGCCATACTGTTTCACAGCTGTAAAACTGGGTCTCATTATTTGCTCTGGCCCTTAAAGACAGACACATCTTGTAGAATAATAATGAACCTTCACATTTAAAGAGACCATTCAACACGTTCTATATACATGATTGTTCTTTCTGGCTTTTTTGGGGGTTTATTAATTTATTTTACGGTATTTATTTACTATTTGCGCTTATAATTTGCTTTTCACTTAAGCCACCTGGGTAGGTGACAAAAACATATCATTTTTTTAAAAACACAAATTTAATTAATTCATAAAATAGAAGTAACCAATGACAACAGCAGCAGGAAAGTATGAACAGCAATGGAGGAGGAAAGCTACTAGTTTGCAAAGAGTCTATAGCCCAATCAGCACCTTTCTGTGCAGTCTAGTCTGCCCTGAGTGTGCAACCCAGTTTGTTCTAAACTCTTAACTTGGACCAGGGGATGGTTAACGAATTGGGGGGGGGGGGACGATGACGACCATTGGCTGTAAAAATAGATCACATTTGTTTGAATTCAAATGTACTTTTGTGAATAAATATACCGTATTTTTCACTCTATAAGACGCACTTTTTCCCTCCTAAAAAGTAAGGGGACATGTGTGTGTGTGTCTTATGGAGCGAATGCAGGCTGCGCAGCTATCCCAGAAGCCAGAACAGCGAGAGGGATCGCTGCGCAGCGCTCCCTGTTGCTGTTCTAGTTTCTGGCTTAGCCCCTCAGTCCCTTCCCCCACCTCCCGCAAAAGCCCCCAAGAGCTGCGCGGAGTGTATGTACGGCTCTTGGGGAAAGACTGCAAGCGCCGCAGACATGCTCCACACGGCTTGTGAAAGGGAGCGCTGAGCAGAGCCTGGGATGCATACAGTCTCTGCTCAGCACTCCCTTTAAAGATTATTTTTTTTCTTGCATTCCCCCTCTAAAAACTAGGTGCGTCTTATGGTCAGGTGCGTCCTATGGAGTGAAAAATATGGTACTTAGCAATTTGGGGTTGGGGTGAACAGAGCTTCTCAAAGACACCCCCTTTCTGTTTGCCTGGTGAACACTTTCACGCAACAACTGACTGAATACCAAAATAAGCCTACTATGAATAGGAAAAACGCCACCTGAAGAAATAAATAAAAGTGGGAAAGTGTTGCGAAGAGTAAATAACAATTGTTCGTGTTTGTAAAACTAGCAGCTCAGTGCTAAACCAATTTGGTAAATCACATTGCCCCTTCAGTTCATTAAAAAGGAACGGAGCCATCCAGCTCAAGGAAATTTGCATTTCCTCTAGAATGAGACCCATCAAGTTCAGCGGGGCTTATGATAATGTTCTTGTGTCCTTCCTGCCTTTCACTGTGAAATATACTCGGATTCGAGAGTGGATTTCATGCTCTTTATTCAGCTCATTGTGGTGAGGAGGAATGGAAGTTCCCCCAGAATGTCTGTTTTATATACATTATTTACACAATGGGCCCCACGTGATTGGCTAATTCCGGGATTCTCCTGTAGGTCAATCAGGTTGCAGATTCACTTCTAACTGGAGCTGGAATGGGTGGCTCCTGTGGACCAATCAGACTGCAGCATTCTGGGTCCTATTGTTCTAGGACCAATCAGACTGCTGCATTCTGAATCCTATTGTTCTAGGACCAATCAGACTGCTGCATTTTGGATCCTATTCAACTCAGTACATAACACACGGTAACAATGTCTTCCCATCTTCACCCCTTCCCTTTTGACTTGGAGGAACTGAGACTCAGAAATTCTTCCATCACCATATATGAAGTCTCTCTCAGAAGGGTGGAGAGACCTGGCCAAATGTGATTGGTGGAAAAGTTGCCATCATCTCCTTTAAAGAGTGAATCACAGAGATGCCTGGAAAGAGACCCATTTGCCTCAATATGCAGAGTGTACCTGGATTCCTCTCCATGGAGTGGTCCTGCCTGCTCCTCCTGCTCCTCACTTACCCCACAGGTAACAGAATGAGTGAAATCCCCAGGAACAGATCTGTGCTGAGATCCAGGTGTGAATTTTCTATAGGCGCAACTAAACTTCTTTCTCTTTTCGGGTTTTAATCTTTTTGCAGGTTCCTCCTCCCAGGTTGTGCTGACTCAGAGGCCCTCAGCATCCTTTTCCTCAGGTGAGACAGTCCGTCTCTCCTGCACCTTGAATACTGGATACAGTATCAGCAGCTATAGGGTCGGGTGGTACCAGCAGCTATCAGGTGGTGCTCCACGGTTTGTATACCACTACTACAGCAGTAGTAGTCAGGGCAGAGGCACCGGGGTCCCAGAGAGATTCAGTGTCTCCCCTGATTCCTCCAGCAACCTCTGGAATTTAGTGATCACAGGCGCTCAAGCTGAGGATGAGGCTGATTATTACTGTTGCACATGGGATGGCAGCAGCAGCGTGTTCCACAGTGGTACAATCTGATGAGGAACCGAGACAAAAACCTCCACCTTTCCTCCCCAGAGTTGTGAAACTGAAATGCTTAAAGGACTGTGTTATGTCAATGCTCTCAGCTCTTGAACCACTGCATGCAAAGTAAAGCTTCTGACAAAGTCCCCCATGATATTATTGAGGAGAAGCTGGTAAAATGTGGGGTGGATGAAGTTATTGCCCCCCCCCAATTATAACAAATATAACATAGAAAAGGAAAAACACACAAAATAAAACACACATTACAATACTAAAAAAGAAGAACAAAAAAATTAAACACATATTACCTGTAAAACCCAATTTATCTTTCATTGTTAATTGACTTCCTCGGATCCCTCCTATCTGAATTTCATTGTATCACCTTATAACAGCTCTCCAATATCATTTTTCAGCTAAAATTAATTCCACCAATTAACTATCTTCTTTTCTTTTCTTAATATTCTAAATCCAAATTACTTACAATTCAATCTTATTTTAATCCTAGGCCTATTTGGTACTTTCAAGTGACTTCTAGTTACTGATACAGTGGTACCTCGCAAGACGAATGCCTCGCAAGACGAAAAACGCGCAAGACGAAAGAGTTTTCCGTTTTTTGAGTCGTTCCGCAAGACGAATTTCCCTATGGGCTTGCTTCGCAAGATGAAACGTCTTGCGAGTTCTTGTGAGTTTGTTTCCTTTTCCTTAAAGCCGCTAAGCCGTTAATAGCCACTAAGCCACTAAGCTGTTAATAGCCGCTAAGCTGCTAAGCCGCTAATAGCCGCTAAGCCGCTAATAGCTGTGCTTCGCAAGATGAAAAAACCGCAAGATGAAGAGACCCACGGAACGGATTAATTTCGTCTTGCGAGGCACCACTGTATTACAGTATTTAATTAAACAGTCCTTAAATTTCTTCCAGTCTTCTTGATATTCCTCTTCTTTCTGGTCACGGATTCTTCCAGTCAGGTCGGCCAGCTCCAAAAAATAAAACATCTTCATCTGCCATTCTTCCACCATTTGAATTTCTTGAGATTTCCAATTTTCAGCTAATAGCAGTCTTGCTGCTGTAAGGGTAAAGGACCCCTGACCATTAGGTCCAGTCATGACCAACTCTGGGGTTTCGGCGCTCATCTCGCTTTATTGGCCGAGGGAGCCGGCATACAGCTTCTGGGTCATGTGGCCAGCATGACTAAGCCGCTTCTGGTGAACCAGAGCAGCGCACGGAAACGCTGTTTACCTTCCTGCTGGAGCGGTACCTATTTATCTACTTGCACTTTGATGTGCTTTCGAACTGCTAGGTTGGCAGGAGCAGGGACCGAACAACGGGAGCTCACCCCGTCACAGGGATTCGAACCGCCGACCTTCTGATTGGCAAGTCCTAGGCTCTGTGGTTTAATCCACAGTGCCACCCGCTGTAGTGGCATACAAAAATAGTCTGGATGAAGTTATTGTTAGGGGAATTTTCAACTGGTTGACACACCAAACCCAAAGGGCGCTCGCTAATGGTTCCTCAACATCTGGAATAAAGTGACCCGGGCCTGTTGTTCAACGTCTTTATAAACAATTTGGATGAAGGAATTGAGGGAATGCTCATGAAATTTGCAGATGACACCAAACTGGGAGGGGCAGCTAATGCCACAGAAGACAGAATCGGGATTCAAGAGGAACTTAACAGATTGGAGAACTGGACCCAAACTAACAAAATGAATTTCAGTAGGGGACAAATGTAAGGTTCTACACTTAGGCAAGGAAAACCAGCTGCACAAATATAAAATGGGGGACACCATGTGAAAAGGATCTTTTGTCTTAGTGGACCATAAGCTTAACATAAGTCAACAGTGTGATGCAGCAGCAAAAAAACCTAATAGTATTCTAGGCTGTATAATCAGAAGTATAGTGTCCAGATCAAGGGAAGTAATAGTACTGCTCTGTTCTGCCTTGGTCAGACCACAGCTTGAGTACTGTGTCCAGTTCTGGGCACCACAATTTAAGAAGGATATTGACAAGCGGGAACCTGTGCAAGAGAGGGTGACCAAGATGATCAAGGGTCTGGAAACCAAGCCTGATGAAGAACAGTTGAGGGAATTGGATATGTTTAGCCTGATAAATACATCAAGGGCTGTCACGTGGAGGATGGAGCAAGCTTGTTTTATGCTGCTTGGGAGGGTCGGACCCAAACCAATGGCTCCAGGTTACAAGAAAGGAGATACTGACTAAACATCGGGATGAAATTGCTGGCAGAAAGAACTGGTTGACAGTGGAATGGGCCCCTTCAGATGGCAACGGACTCTCCTTCACTGGAGGTTTTCAAGCAGAGGTTGGATGGCTATCTGCCATGGATGCTTTGGTGGAGATTCCTACATTGCAGAGGGTTGGTCTAGATGACCCTTTGGGTCTCTTACAACCCTACAATTCTTTGGTTCTATGACTCTCACCTCCTTCTGGAAGATATGACCACATGCACCGGTTGAAATGTGGGAATCCTTTGTTATAGAAAACAAAACACATTTCCGCATCACCTGGCCTAGTATAAATCTCCTACAGATGTGAAAGGATGCTGCTACTAGAATAGGAAACTTTAAGATATTTAAGTTATAATTAGAAAAATCTTAATAATTATTCATAAAGGAAACAGTTTATAAGAAGTAAATAAGGAGGCCAGGTACAGGATAAAGGAAGTCTTTTATTTGGTTTTTATTTTATTTGTATTGTTGTATGTTATGCTCATTGTATGTTATGTTCACGTTTAATGAAGGTGGATTTGTGTATTGGGGGGTGGGGGTTTTATGTTATGTTGTAAATAAAATTCCAATAAAATTAAAATAAAAAAATAGAATAGGAAACCATGTATTTCAGGACACACACACACACACACACACACACACACACACAAATATTGCAAGTCGCCTGTGATCCTCAGATGAAGGATGGTATAGGAATTTAACAGATAAAAATAAAAACAAAAAGTTAAAGTTAAGCACTTTAAAGTTTTGATGAGAGTATGATGGATGTGTGTAGGACTCTCCTGTTCAAATAAGCCTAAATGAAAATTGATTAATTTTGTGCCTTTAGCTTTTTCCTATGAAACCTTCACGGTGGATTGGAATCCACTAGAGGTTCACATCCTGATCCAAGGTGGCTCACAACATGAGCACCAACACTATGCAAATATAGGGTGAAAGACTAAGAAATGGGTCCACAGATGCATGCTTGTGAGCTGCATCTGGGGCTGAAAAAGGTTGAAGAGACTTGGCATAAAATATTCTTTATCGGATGCCTGCTAAGCTGGATTCAACCTCTAGGGGGCGGTGCTGGTCCAGTTTCCTGACATCATGAAATTGATCACAAAGACCCCTTGAAAGTGTTGCCAGAAATGAAGGAGGGGAATGTGCTATATATGGGGTGGTTCTTTCTGGGCTTTCCCATTGGTTTGTTTGTTTATTTGTTTATGCTTATAGATCACCATTCATCAAATACTTTCAGGATGAGTTACAAAGATATCACAATTCAGGCAGGCACTATTTAAACCAAAATCATAGGAAAAGAAATGCTGAACTAAGCAATCGAAAACTTAAGCCAGCGACCCCAAAGAATGCACATCACTGCTGGAGGAGATATATAATTTTCTGTGGAGAGGGATATTGTGAACAGTTTCTCCCCAAATGAGGGTCATTTCTATTGTACAATTATTAGCTTCTTTCCTTCCTACACAGCCCCCGTGTGTATTCAACTCAAGTTAGTGTCACGGTCCGGTCTATGGGCGATTCAAGTCCCGGCTGAGGACGTCGGGACCGGGGGCAAGATGGCGGGGTGGGAGCAGGAACAAGAATCTAGGAGTCAGGGTCTGAGGGTCAGGAAGCAAGGAGTCACGAAGTCAAGGGTCCGAGTCAGGAAGCCAAGGTCCGAGGATCAGGAAGCAAGAAGCCAAACACAGCAAGGCAGGAAACGTGTTGTTGTGGCAAAGAGCGGAAGGGAAATGCTGACCTTATATCCCTTCCCGGCTCTTGCCACCAGGTGCAGAGAGTTACCAAGCGGCCTCACCTGTGCGGCCGTGCCTTGCCTCTCCAGAACAAACTTAGGAAGGCCCCAGTCCTGCGAAGCCCTACTGGTCACAGGGCCTGGCTACTGCACACACTCCTGACAGTCAGGAGTGTTCACAAGTGTCGTTTGCTGCTCTAAAAAAGTTGTTTCTAGAGTTCAGATTTTACCAGGCTGAACCAAGGGCACATCCTATGGCTCTGAAAATTCTCCTTCATGAAAATTTGCCCTGGAGTCCTATGCTTGAATATCCCACAATGCTCTGCAAGATCCCAAAGTTCTAACAGAGGCAATCAATGGTCAGAAAAAGCACCCAGCCACCCACAGTCCAGCTGACCCCCAGATCTCCATGCCTCCTCAGACGTTTATTTGTAGATCAAATAGTTGGTTTCAGAAAAGGGACTTTATAATTCCCAGTTTCAATATCCTTTTCGGGAAATATAAAATATGGCAGAGATACCACATGGTTCTCCTCCCCCACAAGTCATCCTGACAACAAGCCTGTGAGGTAGCTTAGGCTAAGGGATGGAAACTGGCCCAAGGTCACCCAGGGATCTTCACGGCTGAGTGGGGATTTGAACCCAGGTCCAATGCTCTAACCACAAGTCAGATATTCTATGTGCACACACATACAATGTTTTCCAAGGATCTCTCTTGCAAAGGGTTGGCGTTTCTGTCATCAGCCTGTATCTTGTTGAGTTTGGTCTGTTTTTGTAAAAGGTCCCTTATGCAAATTTTATCATATGGTCATATGGCCATTGGTTGTGCTTGAATGTCCCTCAATGCTCTTCAGGAGCATGAAATCTAGGGGAGGCAAGCAATGGTCACAGAACTCATTTACATACAAGTAGAACTCTTCAGCTCTGGGGGGATTTAAAGAGGAAGGGGGACGATTCCTTCAGAGAGTCAGATTCCTTCAGAAATCTCACCATGACCCCATCTCTTTTGATCCTTGCTCTTTT